ACCAGGACGTCTGGGAATGGTTATTTGATTCATTTATGCACTTGTAGAGTTTTCACAGCCTATTTGCAATGACGGATGAGCAACACACATACACACAAATACTTCGGCAATGTTTGCTATGTGCTTTAACGAAATGACACGCACACAAATACAGTTTTAAGCACTATAACGACATGCCATTTATGTGTCATGTTCAAATATTACTTCTCGTACAGGTGCTCATGTGGCAAATGTGAGGGGATGCCTATGGTAATGCAGGACTGTCAGTCAGCGGCCGTGGGCGGGACCTGAGCAGTGTGATGTCACACTGCACAGAGAATCAAAACGGCATGTTTAATGAGACTGATTTGGTTTAAAGGGGATTAAAAAATAAGGAGTGGGTGAATTTTTATCATTGTAGGGTGGTTGCGTTCACACACTGCCAGCACTCGTTTATGTCCAAACACAATGTAAAGGTGGATTTTACATAATAGGTGCCCTTTAAAAAAAAAAGTAGTAGAAAAAAGAATGCACATACAAAACAAGTCAGACGCAGCTGCAAAGTCAAAAAAGAAATGGTGAATACTGATTTATTGCTACAAAAATTGCACTGAAGAGAAGTAAACCAAACAGCTAACAAAAAGTCCCCAAAACATTTTCCTTTAAAGTCCCCCTGTGGTGAAAATGAAGTTTTTTTATGTTGTTTATTTGTCTATGTGGTGTTTTTAATATGCTTTTAGACAAACCTTGTGCCAACCTATTTATTAGCACCATTGCGGAGTATTTTCTCCTTAAAACATTAGTTTCCCAAAGGCAGTCACAGAAACGCAGTTTGAAACAGCCTTTTTTTTGCTACGTCACAAAATTCAATAACCAATCGCGTCAAGGGATCCTATCCTTAGCATATCATTAACTGTGCTGCAAAGCAGAGGGTCTAGTGAGAAGGCAGCCAAGTTAATCCGGTAACATTTATATTTTTTCTGCAGATGTTTCACTAACTGTTAAAGTGGTCATATGATGCGATTTAAATTTCTCCTTTCTCTTTGGAGTGTT